GTAACACTTTTGCACAAGCATTGCTTAAAAGCATGTTTTTTATTACCGAGAATGTATGACTATTTCCAATATACAAATATCCTGTTGCTTTAAAATATGTATTTGCTAAAGTACAATTTATTTTTACATTGATTAGCAAATCTACAATTCTGACAAAAAATGACGGGGAATAACCATTGGAAAACAGCCTGATATAATCAAAAATGAGCTATGTTTTTGACATTATAGCCATTTTTTGACATATAAGTTTTGGGAAATAAGAAAAAAGTTTTCACTAAAAACTGTCAAAATTACTTTTAAACATTGTATGTTTGAATGAGTGTAAAAGGAAAAGTTAATAAAGAATGTTCAAATATTTTATATTTTGTTTAGCTTATTATAAATCTATGATCGCTTCATTTTTAAATAAAGAATTTTTCGTTTTCAACCTCTCTTTCTGTTAAGTTCTGAAAGTGTCATGGGGCTCTAGTAGTCATGTGTCTGAAGTTATGAAACAATGATAGGTGATCTTCAACTCAGTTGGCTGCATAAAGTTTTTATTGTTTCTTCCTTGTGTGATATAACATGAGCCAAAATCTCTTACAAATTTCACTATGCTACATGAGAATTTCATGATTTTCTTTTGTGGAATGGAAATATGAGCCAATATTCCTAAAAAGGTCCTAAGTAAAGGCATTCATTCTTAAAGACTGATAGCTCATTCATACTTTACTTGATATAATTAATCTAGTCAAATGTGAAAGTGTAGTGAAATAAATCGATTTTAAATCAGCTGTTTTTAACTGTTTTAGTGAAATTACTTAAATATTTCCTCCTTTTTACTTACCTACATAATTTTAAAAAAATAATAAATTTTCATGTATTATTTTATTTTTTATTTATATTTATATATTTATTTTTTTGCATTTGATATTGTCTGGTTTCATCATGTGATAACTAATTTAATTGGCTGTAAAAGTCAAGTATATATTAATAAAATTTTGAATTTTGAACAAAAGATATGCAATCGGAAAATAGTTCAATAAATGAAAGCACATTAATTTTATGAATTCTAAGCAGTGAAAGTCAACACTTCTTATTCAATATTCAGGAATAAGATTTTTTCATGTTTTTGATATTCTGCAGTGAACTCAGCTTTTACATAGTTTTTCTGCTATAATTAGGCTATGCATTTTCTTAATTTGTTAGGCAGTAGAATTTGAAAAATGCACTGGAGAGAGCAACTAAAAGTTTTTTTTAAAAAAAAAATATTTTGATTTTCTTTTCTTCTAAGAAATCATTTTTTATTTATTCTATAACTTTTAGTCTTTCAAGGACTATTACTGGTTTTTTTCTCAGTACTCTAATTCAAGTTCCTTGGTGTATCTTATATCCACAGTAACATCTGTTCCTCAGAATAATCTATGCATTGCATATGTCTACTCAAGATTTGACATGTAAAACACACTTATCAGCATACTTTAATTTATCTAAAATTACATAATGTGCTTTTTATTTTGTATAAAAACTTCTCTCTATATTGAGCCATTTTAAATAGCTTGTGTACCAAAAATTTTTTTTTTGATTTGAAAGAATATACAATATGTGTGTTATTTTTAAATAATGAAGCAAGTCTTATGAACAACTTGAAGACATCCTGAGACATATGAGGGGTTAAAAAAAAAAAAAAAAAAAAGAATTTTTCAGTGCTTGATTCTGTTTAGTGGTATTACAGCTAAAGAATTTTATTTTCTTTACGTAAATCTGATATCAGCAAAACAAGTTGACTTCCCCCCAATTTTGTTATTAGAGTAATAATAATAATTGTATAATATATTTAAAATTTGTATTTCTTTTTTAAAAAGTTAAAATATTTTTTATAATTTCTTTTTTTATCCCATATGTTATTATAATATTCACTTTAAATGCAAATTTGGATGCATTTATGAATAGTTTAGTTGTGCATTGATATGTTAAATATGTAACATTGTCATATTTGGTCATTCTCAGTGAAAGCAGATTTCATTCAGAAGTTCTAAAGGTCCAATAACAATTAAAGCAGAGAATTTTTTTTTTTTTTTTTTTCTGGGGAGGGAATTCTATTAACTTTGATTTCATATTAACCTGCCTTTGAGTTATAAATGATATTATTAAACTAATAAAGGTATTTGAAAAGGAAAGGATTGTACAGATCTTTACAGTTATTTCATGTGTTTTCAAGATTATAATAGTGTTATTGATGGCAAAAAGTTCCACTTCAAGGGAATTATGCTTAGTCAAAATGCAGTATCTTTTTAGTATGCTTTCGGCAGTTTTAAAATTTTTAATTTGGAATATATCATAAATTGAAAGTAATACTCTTAATTCTGTTTTTTTTTTTTTTTTTTTTTTTTTTTTTTTTTTTTTCCCACAGATTCGAAATAGATATTTTATTTTCTTTTTACATGAGTCATTTTCATTTGATATGAACATGAGTCATTTGATATGAACACACAGTTTTTATGTATAGCATAGTAATACATGCATGAATGAACAAATTGCATAACAGCTAGTGAATTAGAATGAAATGTCTTCCCATTATAATTAGCAAGTCATTTGACTACGAGTCATGAGTCTACGAATTCCCCATTCCCCAAGATGTGTGTGTTTATAATTTGATTAAATTTGGCATTTTGTATTCAGAAGATATCTAATATGTAGTTCTATTTCAAAGTGAAAGAATCTTTAGTGAAATTTGTGAACATATAAATTTATTAATTTTGTTGAAAGTCAATAAATTGCAAACTTACAAATTTTTATACCATTTTTTAATTAATGATAGCTGAGATATTTATTGATAGCCCCTATATAGTGTCATATAATTCGCCTGTTATAAAAGAAAAGGCGAAATTTGTATATTTACCTATTTTAGTCTCTATTTTCATAAACTTACATTCATTAAGATGCCATCTATAGTATTAATGAAAGTAAAAAAGCAAAATATCTTAAATTATAGGTCATTAGAGGGTTAAATATTCCCTAATTTTTTGTGAATATGCAGTTAACAATCTTTAATTTATCAAATAAAAAGATAGATGCCATATCATTTTGTCAAGAAAAAGACTGTCTCACAAATGAGTATGCAGAATTGGACACAACATGAAACTATATCTTAATGACAAAACGATTTAGAAGTGCGATGTTAAAAATTGTAAAAAGAAGGACTTCTATGTTGGAAATTGATTTAGTAGTTCCAGAATATCGTTCATCACTGCTATTAGATTTCTATATTCTAGAGAGGAATAGACATGTATCAAATGATTGACAAACAATTTAATATGTGTGAAAATGTTGCAGTTATTTGGAACAATTACATGTGAGAAGTGTGTTCCATACATCTGATCCAAAGATTTAATGGGGAAACAGGTGGTCCTAATAAAATATTTGAAGTAGATGAAAATTTGTTCATTCAACATAAGAACAACAGCGGCGGGGTCCTTTTGATTTTCGAAAGAATATGCCAGGAAGATAGCAAGTGCTATGTCATTCAAATTGTAATAGAGATGATGGTACACTTAAATTATCTTAACAATCTGTTCAGACTTCTTAAAGGGTTATAAAAGAGAGCAACTTGAAGAAGCTGGTTATAGTCAATTTACTGTGAACCATAAGCACATTTTCATAAACCAACAACGGGTGTTCACATGCAAAATGTGAAAAGAATGTGGGGTTCAGTCAAGTGACAAATAAAAAATAATAGGAAACAAACATGAAATCATCTTTTGAAATTGTGTGGAGAAACTACATAGGAAAAAATAATATTTTTGATAAATTGTCGAAAGCAGTCTCGGAAATTTGGCTTTGTCATAACAATTATTAAAAATATTCGTAGGAAAGAGCATGTGTGTATTATTGTTATTATTATATATCGTGTCATGTATTTTTACATTTGTTCTTCATGAGCTTGGCAAAATCATAACTGCAATTATGGTGAATTCCTATGCTTGCCAAATAAGGTCAAGGGTCACTAAAAGGAAATATCCTTTTTTCAAATTACTGTAAAAGCTGGACTATTCAACAACCATGGAAAATGCTGAATTCCAAATACATGAAAATTCCAGGTAGTTGAATGGATAAAAAAGTAGAAGTCACATTAAAAAAGCCAAATAATTGGAAGAAATTTCCAGTTTAAAATTATAAAATCAGTCATCTTATTTGTTACTAAGTTGCATATCGAAAGCCTACATTTAAAGTTAGTTAAAATTTTGGAGAAAAAATGCATTTTAGCCATAAAAGCCAATATGTTTCATAGGCCTTAAACATGAAAGTGTTACATCTTTTTCTTTTATGATATCTTGCTGAACAAGAAAATTGGCGAAGATATCACCAAACTTGAGCCAGTCATTCTGGATGAAGTTTAAATAAACATTTCATTCTTTATTTAATTAGATAATAAACAGATACAAATTCTGGTAATAGTATATAAAAATTACTTATCATAAATATTTGCCTCACATCATCATTTAAAATCGTAAATTATGTCTTTTTTGATTCCAGGATCCTGTAACTTTGAAAATATTCCACTTCATTCTGTGCTGTAGAAGGCAGGTCCAAAATATTAATAATTTCTTAAAATGAAAGGAAAGAACAGAGCTTATATTCGTCTTCATAACAATTAAATTTGTTTATCAAATATTATTTGGGTTTCCATAATACAAATGATTGTGTTGTGGTGTCATGTATATCCATTATTGTTGTTGACAATGTATAAATGCTGATAGTATAGCAAGCTTTATAAAAATGTTACAGATCTCTTATTTACTTATTTTTTTTTGGGGGGGAGGAAGAATTTTTTTGCTAAAATTCTTAAATATTCAGTCACTTGATCTTTTTGGTTAGTTAAATGCTTTACTATATTATAAAGCTACTGAATTTTGATAATGATTTTAAATGCATTATTACTTTTAGACTTTAATATTTGAAATTAAGTAATAAAATATTTTGTAATTATGGTTATCATTATTTCTCCTTTTGTTTTTTAGTTGTATTTTCATCAGAAAGTATGGATACAAATCAATCATTTATGAAAGAAAGATGTCAGTCTGGAGAGAAAGATGAACCAAATAAACAAGTAGACAATATCTCTAAACAGGACTCTCATTTTTATGATATCTCACCTAAAGAAAGGCTATTAGCTTCAGATGAAACTGATGAACATGTTACCCCCAATATATCAAATCTTAGAAATGAATGTACTGACTCCCCTAGAACTAAACTTGCTAAATTTATACCTGAAAGACCTTTTAAAATAAATGGAAATGTAAGTCAAGTATGTGATAGTAAAATATTTATAAAGCCTACTAGTTTTACAAATGGAAGTAGAAGTTTCCATGTTGCTCTTTCAATGGAGGAGGAAGAGGATGAAGAATATCCCAATGAGCACACATATTCTAAAAGCTGTGATTGTGCTGATGAAATTATTGAAGCAATGCAACAAAATATTCCAGCAATTTCCCGCAGCGTGTCGGAAGATTTTTTGCAAAGGTCTGATGCAGCTCTTCAGAGGAGGATATCAGTTGTGGCCACTAGTAAAGGAAAGCTAATGGGAGTACCAAGAGTTCGGCCTGGGGAGAAATTACTTGTAAGGTCACCTTCATCAAGTAGTCAACCTATTTCTAGGACACAACAGAGAATCCTGAGTGTCAGCAGTGATGTACCAAAGAAATCAAGGTTTACAGCTGAGCAGAAATGGATTGCTTTTTGCTTGTGTTTAGTGGATTTTACTGCATTCCTAAGTATGTCCATAATAGCTCCATTTTTTCCGCAGGAGGTATGTATAGTAGTAAACTTTTGCTGTTTTTATTTCTTAAAAGGGATTATATAATTTGAAATAATTTTTATCAAAAATAAGATATTTAAATTGAATTCACTCAAGTATTTGAAATTAAAAACATTTTCAAGATGGTTTTAATCAAATTAGTAACAGAATTTTCATATCATAAGTAATTTAAAATTGTCAAGTCATCAAGAAGCATTTAAAGAAGTTTTTTTCTTTTCGTGTAATGCTGTTATTCTGTGTTATTTGATGCATCTTTAGGTGATATGAAGCCTTCACTAATAAATGTATTTTGATTACTGTAAGTCAATTAACATTAAAAATGCTTTCAATGTAGCTTAACCATTATCTCTTAATAAAGCTTAAATATTAAAAAATGAATATATTTTAAAAAATTGATCATAATATGAAAAATGTCTTTGGAAGGATTGACATTTGTGTGTTTATTTTTAAAATGCTTATATTTGTCAGTTTTGAAGATTGTACTAAGACATACACATTAAGTATTTCAAAGATAACAGTACGAATTATAAAAGGGTATTATATGTATGTGTTTTAGTCTAAAGTTATCTTAAAGACTCTTTATTGCAGCATATTATCCCCTTTTTTCATGCCTCATTGTATAATTGAGATGCATAAGCTCATGTTGTTTTAGTATTTTTTTAAGAGGGTAGCAACAGTGAAGATGCTTGATTGTGTGCCAAAATGAAATCAGTAATATTAAATAATTTAAGTCATATTGAGTTATGTGATTATGGCTAATGGCATTTTATTTTTCATATCCTGTCAAATAGACAGCAAATTCTTTTTCTAGCAGCATCTCTTATGCGAAAGATCTTCAACTGTAAATTTATTGTGTTTGGAAATGTGTTATTATTCTGAGAACAATTCCAAAATCATTTGGTAAATTCCATGAGGGGTATTTTGAGATTACCAACTCTCTACATTATAACCATCCATCGCATTTTGATGAGGATCATTTCAGTAATCTGCTTCAGATGGATTTTCGTTAGATCACTCATGAATTTGCCAAGGAGATGGAGAGTAGTCAGGACATAGTAGATGTGTAACTTCTCCAACATATAAGAAAGATCCAGATTTTGTGGTCTCAGTGTTGCAGTCTTATCAAGGACAACAAGCATCAGATATTTTCATGTATAATTTTTTATTCAACAGCTATCTCAAATGTTTTCAGCAAAATAAGTCTTTTCTGACATACATAGTTACAACACATAAAAAATGATCCGTGCCACAAACTGAAATAGGTTCTGTAACTGAAGATCCTGCATGCAGAATATGTTAAGTATGGGTTTCTTGTCTAATTCAAGCTCTATCTTACAGGACCTGAAAAATAAAAAGCAATTGATCATTATTACAACAACTCAGTATGCTTTAGGTGCACAATGTTACTAGCTATAGTTTGATAAACTGTTCATCTGCATTGTGACTACCATCTTGCAAAAGAATAAAAATCCTAATATACAATAATACGTAATGAGAATTGCCAGCTGTTCTGAATTTTCCTGCAGATCCCTAGTTTTTTCATCAGATCTCTCTGTCAATCACCAAATCAAGTTTTTAATTTTTAACCTTTACTATGAAAGTGTTTTTCAGCAATAAAGAAAATTTATTGAATCAATAAAACTTAAATTATTTAAATTCCATTCTTCTCTACCTCTAATGATTTTCAGCATAATTTTTCTAATTAAATTTTATTTGTTCTGAATTGTTGTAATCTAATGTAGACATTTGTAGAACTTTATCAAGATTCAACTAATGTTTATTAAGTTAATGTATTAATTAATATATAATAATAATTGGATTATGTGAAATTGGTCAAAAACATAGTACTTAAAATGTTTAATTGCACATTAATATGTTTTACAGAAGAATCATATTATAAGTAACTTAATAACCTGAATCATGCATTATAAACCAAATTGAAGACAATTTGGAGTTCTTTTATAATGCTGTGACTGTATTGGGTTTTGGCACAAGAACATTTCTGTTTTCCCTATCTGTATAAAAGTCTCATTATCTAATTTCATAACTTTAGTTCATTTTAATGAAATTTTAATCTAGTATGGCTGCTTAAGACACAGGAGTATTTTATATACTTAGTACATAATTTAGAGTTGAGAATAGTTTAAACAATTTAACATAAAAATGTTAAAGAAATCGATTAAATTAATAAAAAGATAAATTTTTATGATGAAATTCTAGTAAGGTATTTGCGAAATATTTGAAATTTTATTTAAAATTGTATTTAAATTTTTTTTGAATATTTTTTTTTGAAATCTATACTATGCCTCTAGAGCTAACATAAAATGTTGCATATTGTTTTGATAAAATTGAATCCTTTTTTTTTTCAATTGCATACTTTTTGTGGTAATAAAAAACAATAATTAAAGAATACATTTTGGTCATCCCCTTTACATACAGCTGCACAGAAAAGGAGGGAAAAAATCTAAATAGTTCACATTTAGAAAAAATCTAAATAGTTCACATTTATCATGCTCCCCATGTGTTGTAGTCCCAGATGTCCTATTTTGTTTGCTTAAAATGATATTATAATTGCAATAAAAATATGCATATTATATCATTATACTTGTATTGTGCATTAACCAAATGCAATTTGCAAGCAATTACTAAAAAGCTTTTGAAAGCTCAAAGAATTATTTTGTATTTTTATTCTTTTTACCTTTATAAATGACATAATAATTGGAATCCTGATTTGAGTGTACATTTTTAGAGCTATTGAAATGTTTTATATGTTATGAAAAAAGGGCTTCATATCATTTTGTTTATATATATCTTCTTATATAAGCTCCACAGCTTGTTACAGGCTAAAGCTGCCTTTCCAACTTTCTTCCACCTGACCCCATTTGGCTCAATACCCTTCCATTGGTTAACTCCAATTAATCTTAAATCTTGCTCGACATCATTTATCCATTTAGTGGATGGTCTTCCTTTTCGTCTTACTCCTTCAATTCTCAAAAAGGTTATCTTTTTGGTTGGAAATGCATCATTATATCTAAATACGTGGCCCATAATTTTGTATTGCAGGTAAATGTACAAATATTCCTGTTACTTTTGTCATAATATTCGAATAATGATGTAATTATTTTCAATTTCATACAATTAATTGTTCAATTTTGTTTTCCATTTTTTAACATTTGTATATTTTTTATGATTTGTGAAATCTTTGTTTTATATTTTTGTAGGCTGCCAGTAAAGGGATGCGAGAAGCTGTATCTGGCTTTGTTTTTAGTATTTATGCATTAGTTATTATGATATCTTCTCCTGTGTTTGGAAAAATAGTATGTATTTCTGCTTAATTACTATAATATCTGTATTTATATAACAATAAAACTGTTGAGCTAATCTTTTTTAATTTATTACAATTAATTTTTTGCTAATTATTAAATAGTATGGTTCAAGTTAAGGTTAGAAAAGAGATTAAAATACTAGTTGCAAATTTAATTATGAATAAAAGCTTAGGCCATTAAAAGTTATAAATTTTTAGAATTATACTGATGCATTGTCAGGTGTTTTCATTCCCAATCAAAAAAGCATACTGATTAAGCAAAATGTTCCAAAAGCAATAGTTAAAATGAGTCACGTGAAAATTTTCCTTACATATTAACTTGTAATTGTCTAAGTTTATAATTTTATTTGTTTCCTGTTTTACAAAAGCTTTTTTTTAAGAATATTTATTAAATTTTTTGCTCGCATGTGTTATTCCGATGCATTTTATAAAGTATCATATGTTAGTGAAGCTTCGCTTTATTTAATATTTTATAATATTCATGTTTCTAGATGCATATGAAAATCAAATATTAGATAAAGAAAAGTTTTATGTCATATTTTCAAGTAATCTTTATCATTTCAGTTAATTCATTTCAGAATAGTCATTTTTATTAATTACCTAAAAGCTTTTCCTCATAAAGTAATCATGATTAACTGACAGATTTGGTATAGAGAAATAGAATTGTATTTTTGATTTTTAAGTACCATGTAGGAAAACAAAGTATACGAATTCTTTTATAATTGCATTATGTTTGTGTGTGTATATAATGTAATTAAGAATCAATGTGATGTGTGTGTCTGTATATATAAAGAAATTTCTGCCCAGATGGTCTAGTGGTTAGAGGAGCCTGACTGAGATACTGAAGGGCCCGGGTTCGAATCCTGGAGAAGGCATAGATGTAAAATTGTCTGTGGAATATAAAATAGGAGGCAACTTTGGGCCACCTATTAGGTGCCTCAAAAAAAGAGACCACCGATCTAGCCTTAGGAGAGGACGATGCCGGCATAGCCAAGTGCCTGCCGTTAGGGGAAAAACAATTTAAACCAATTTTTCACAAAGACTAAAAACTGAAATTCAAATGAACTTCAAAAAATCCTCTTTTTTAATGATTTTGCCTTGTATTTTTGCGATTTTCCTTTGCTTTGAGGAGGACCAGAATTTTCATGTGAACTACTAAGATTAAAAATCTATTGAAATGGTTCATCAGCTAAGTTTAGATACAGAAAAGCAAGCATTTTGTTTTGGAAGGGGAATTGTAATTAAATTTGCCATACCTCCTCGTGATGACGTTATGTTAAAGTTGATTGCATTCTTCTTCTTTCTTGTTCTTTTATATTCTTTTTTGGTTTTCTTGTGATGGTTTATTTTAAATTTTTACATTTTAAAATAGTTTAAATTCTCTGTTTATATGATTTTTTTAAGTTCATTTGAATTTCAATTTTTGGTCTTTGTGAAAAATTGCTTCTAAATTTCTTTCTTTATATTTTTACTGATAAATGTTCAGTAGCATAATGTGTTACAATTCTTGGAAGGATTATAAATTTTCCTTTTAAAAAGGATTCATGTGTATGTTTTATATATATATGTATATATATGTATAATGTAATTATAATATTCTCATTTATTTTCAGCTTCCTCATGTTGGTGCTAAATTTATGTTTCTTTGTGGAGTTGGATTTTGTGGTGGATGTAATGTGTTATTTGGGTAAGATTTAAAGGTTTATGTTTAGTGGAAATCCCCCCCCTCATTACTAATGCAAAAATTATAAGCATTTTCATTTTAAATAGATTATTAGATAAAGTCAATGGACAAGTAGAGTTTGCTGTACTTTGTTTCGTCGTACGATCATTTGAAGCATTAGGAGCAGCTGCCTTTTGCACTGCGTCATGCACAATACTCATTGATCAGTTTCCAGATGACATAGGCACAGTATTTGTGAGTGATATATTGTTTCTTACATTCATATTAATTAATTTGAATTTCAAAGTATTAAATCCTATTAATTATAAAAAATGTTAAATTTTTTTTCTTTGAATGGATAAGAAGGGAAAAATGTATTTCATATATATTACTTGTGGTTTAATTTTAGATTAGGGTTCTTATTTTTTTTTTTTTTTTTTTTTTTTTTTTTTAATTGAGACCATTTTCATATTTTTACTTCTGGAACATTTTATAAAAGTGGAAGTATTGAGAACTAAAAAGAGCAAAATTAAATCTAATATACATTGTGTAAACAAAAATCCATACCCAATTGTATATTTAAGAAACTGTTGGGTCATATACATTACTTCCAATACAGAAATGGGTACTCTTCTGTTATTGGGACCAGATTAAAAAATATATGTATGCATTTATCCTTGTACATATGGATGTTTGTACATATATGTGTATGAGTATACACACAAACACACATACATATGTACGTACATATATACATGAACATATATATGTGGATTTATATATATATATATCCATGTGACACAAATTGACTGAGATATTTAGTTTTAAAATTGAACATCTTATTCAGGTGTTGTACTAAAATTGAAAAAGGAAGTATTTGCGTTTGTACTTAACCCATATGTGAAATATCAGTTTAGGAAAATATTTCTGATATTAACAGATTAAGTGACATTCATTTCTATGCAAATTATCATGAAAAGAGAATGTTTTTATAGACAACATAATAGTAACATAATTTTTTCATACAGGAGATCTTAGTCTTGACATCTTATATAATCATTAGTCAAGAAAACACTGGCAGGTTTTCAGTAGTGTCATATTGCTAATTCATAATCTTATTTGCATAAATTAAAAATATGTAATAATCATTTCAATGAAATCATTTTAATGAATTTTTTTGTAATTTTTACATTAGGATTCTGAAGTAGTAAAGCTTGATGAGAATATTATTAATGTATTTCTAATATTTCAAAACATAAAATTATTTATGTGAATATTCTTTCTGCATACCAAATTATAAATTACAAAAAATTAAAAATTAATGAATATTACACACTAGTAAACCGCAAAAGTATATCACTGATTGGCATTGAAGGAAAAAAAAACAACAACCACAAGTCTAATTTATTTATTAACTGAGCTCACCTCTAAAGGCAAATTGTAAATGATATCAAAAATTGCAAAATTTGAAATTAAATATCTTGTTTAATTTTTGTTGTATGGGAGTCAATTCTTTTTTGTTTTATTTATGATGAGAAAACTTTTTTCCTAGGTATGGTAAGATTTTATATGAGTATAACAGTTCCTTTTTATAATGAGTATAACTTTTTATGAGCAAATGTATAACTTATCAGATTTCATATTTTATACAAAATTAGCATAATCAAAACACATAAAAAATGAAACTTTTTTATCATTGAGTGGAAGTATACATTTATGACCAACAGTTTAAAAAATAAAGGATAGATAAGGACTTTTAGGAACACTCTGCATAATTTGAATACTGGGCTCTGGCTTTTCAAATTTCTTTTGCTACTTATATAATTTTTAATGCCATGATGCAATGTAGGAAAACATTTTTTTTAACAAACTGTCTGAATAAATACTATATAAAATCAATAATAATAATTCATATAAAATGGGTGAAATTCTTCAGGGATTTCTTTCATCCTCAGTTCTTTCAACCCATTCATTTGTAATTTTTTCTTTGTGGTATTTATATTATTAAAAGTAGAAATTATTTAATGACTTGTCTTTTCTTTAATCAAAGGGTTTTACCGAAACATGCATTGGAGTTGGAATGAGTATTGGTCCTGCTCTTGGTGGCGCTCTTTATGCTGTATGTGAGAGTATAAATTGTATTGCTTTGTCTGTGACAATTGGTTTACATTTTGTAATATATAATTTTTTAAATAAATCTATTTTATAGATTAAATTTTTACCTTTCGATAAATATTAAAATATTTTTATAGGTTGGTGGATTTGGCTTACCATTTTTCACCCTTGGAGGCTTAGTCATGCTTGTAGTTCCTTTATGCTGGTATTTGCTACGAAATGTGAAAGGTATGTTACTACAAAATGTGCCTTGTTGCAAAATGTAGCTCGAGATGAAAATAGCAAAATTAGCAGTATATACAACCTTATGAATATATATATATATATATATATACATTTTTATATATACATAAAATATATACAACCTTAAGGCTATTTTTTAAATCCAACATGAATGGAAAAAAGTATGTAAATGTATGAATAAGATGGCATATATTGTTCCATCTGACAGTTTTTACAGTGATTCATTCATAGGCACAGTTAACAAAATTCTACCATTGTCAGCTCATGACACCAGAAGAAATAACCCAAATAATTATCAGAAAACAAATACATTTTTGAACCAGCATCTGCTCTATGATTTTTTTTTAACAACGTGATATTTTGTTGCAGCATCATATTTGTACTTCTGCAGTAAAATATTATTTTATTTTTTGGATTTCCGAACATAATTTTTCACTATGGATGATTCTTTTGCCTTGCGGTAATTTAATTGCAACTCTTCATCATTTGACGACTTCCACATTGATTGTTTCTTCCAGGGAAGGGAGGCAGATTAACAGAAAAAAATAATAATAAAGAAAAATTTTTTTTTTAAAATATTTTTAAAAAAGATTTTGGATTTTAATGGTAGCCCAAAAGAGTGTTTAAAAGTTTTTTACGCTCTCTCTTAGCTCGCAATCTACCAGTCTGCTGCTGGTACACTCACTCTTACTAACCCTTTTCTTTTAGTCATTTTAACTTTATTCTTAAGCATGATTTGCTTTGAATTTGTACCATACACAATTCAACAGCAGAATTACATAGAAGCAGCATATGTTTAGAAATCCCAATGCAGTGCTAAGTGGTTTTTTTTTAATGTCTTTCTTTAGTTTACCATAAAAGTGTTCAGTTTCCTTACTAAGATTAAGATGGCTTTACAAAACTTTTTTGTCTTTTGATTATTAACCTTTTGTGTGTTTTGTTTATTTATTAAATATCACATTCTTGGGACTAATGCCACATAAAATTCGATTTAACAGCAAAATCACAAAATATTTAAGCACAGCATACCTTTAGAATTTCTGATAGACAGTTTCGCACATTGGAGATATTTTTTTCCCAATATGGTGTTGCCGCTGCTTGCTTTCAAATTGTTGAGTATTATTAATAAAAAATTCATTCAAATGTTACAAAATATAGTACAAAGTCCGAGATCCAGATTCGTCGGGACTTCAGTGATTCTGCATTTGAGATTTTTTCAGATATTATATATAGAATCTTTTTAATCATTTACTAGTTTAAAACTAATAAAATGACATGTTGAAATTATAAAATTAAAAATATAAAATCATGATTTATGAAATAATGAAGCATTTATGATCTAAAGGGTAACACAATTTACAAAAAAAGCTTAATATATATATATGTTTACTTTATTAAACATTTCTTTCAGTGTAAGTTGTTTAAGTTACTTTTTTTATGCTAATATTTCCTCTTTCATTCTGTAGACAGACATAATTTCTTATTCAGTTACAAAGCTCCATTGTTCAAGACCTGTAATTTCTGTGTCGAGAATTCCAACTAACTTGTCACTCAAAATTTTTTCGTTTTCAGTAACCTCTCTGTCACTTTCTTCACTATCAGTATTTTCTGGATCTAGAATCATACTACAGATCTCGCTGTCCATTATTTGATTGGTGATTGAGGCATTGTCATCGCAATATCATCTTCCTTTATTACTGCTTCTCCACATTTCTTTACAAAAATCATTAATTGGAAAGTTTCACCTTTGCTTTGCAATATCCGAAAACTTTCACATTCGCGGCTATCATATTCATCATCCTCACCATGAAATATGGCAGCTGACTATAAATTATACCAAACATTTTTTTAAAGTATCTGGAGGTACATCCTCCCACTATCTTGCAATGCTCCATAAAGTAAAATTTTATGCAAAAATTCTTGAATAGTCTGAAAATTCTACTTTATATTTGGATTTCGGAGTCTGCACAATTCCAATATCCATAGGCTAAGAAGCGGATGCACAATTTGGAGGAAAGAATAATACAAACACATTATTTTTCACTAAAACTTTAAGTGAAGTATGAGCCAAACAGTTGTCTACAATTGGGACAGTTTTTGCATCATCAGGTAAACCAACCAAATTTTGCCGAGCCTCGGGTATGAAATGATTTTCAAACCAATCATTCATTAGCATTTGTGTCATCTGTGCTTTTCTATTTGCATGATATATAGCGGAGAAAATCTTTACTCCTTTAAATGCTCGAGGTCGTATATTTTTTCTGATTATGAAAGGTTTACACTTGTGTGTTCCTGCAGTATTTGTGCATGCTAAAATTGTTAGTCTCAGTTTCGAATCCGACACCAGTTGCAGCCTTTTCTATAGAGGCTGCCAAGGTATTTTGTGGCACATATTGCCAGAAAAGACCAGTTTCATCAGCATTGTAAATTTGTTCTGGAGATAATTTTCAACTGTTCATGAGTTTAATGAATTCATTTGCAAATACTATGAGGGAACATAGCCTACCTCACAGTGTCCAGAGGGGTGTTTACTGGGTGATCAGTGTTGGTATATTTCAAGAGATTCTCCAAGTTCACACACGATGTTACGTTTTATTACAGTGATTAAACACAATACATAACATTATATACATATTCAAGAACGGGGGTACAAGATTTTAGCGCTTTCGGCACTTCAAGATACGTGTCTGCCCACGATGAGTTACAAGGCCTAACTCTTTTGGCGCATCAACGCCACCTATAGTATCTCACTTCATAACATACATTTTCAGTATCAGCTGAAGCGTTTACCCCAAAATTCTTAATTGCTTTATAACATGGTGATTTTTAAATTTGGTTAACCAACCTGACGAATATGTGCACTCACTTTTTAAGTTCATTTCTAAGTGAAATATTTTAGCTTGAGCTATTAATATTGAACCATCAATGGCTGGCATGGCTGCGATGCTGTCTTACCCATTCAGTCATCACTTTGTCATGATCTTCACTTTGAAGATAACAAATAATTTTTCTATTATTCATTGCGAGTGGGGTGTGGAATCCACAAAAAATTCAGAAACTTCCTTTTTCTGTTTTCTGATGTCATATACTTCCATTGTTATACTCCTCGCATAATTTTGCATATGCCTTTATCCAAGTTTTTCCAGCAATTCCGCTTTTTGTTTAATAGACATCGAAACATGCTTGTAGAAACTCTTTTTGACATAATCGAAAGTTCAAATTTTAATTTTCGTAAAATTTCTCTAATAAAAACAGCCTGGAAAAAATAATAAGCTCGGTCAAATTAGGAAGTTAAGGAACAGCTCATACTGCTATATTAATTAAAATTCTATGGGAATCATTAAAGTATAATTTTAGCCTAGCTTAATAGCTTCTGCTATTATTGGCTATGTTTCATGAGATTGGCAATAAAAGGCAAGTTGTTCCGCTAAATTTTGTCTTGCTTTTATTGTGCATTGAGACAATTAAGCCTGAATTCTATTTAATTATTTATTATTCAGTCAAAAGTCTTTAATCCGGACTTGTCGGGACTTCAGCGATTCCGGATTATAGATCATCAGTTTAAATCTGGTAAGATGGCATGCAGAAATTATAAATATAAAAATATGAAACCATAATTTATGAAATAAAGAACAATTATGATCTAAAGGGTATCAAAATGTACAAAAAAAAGTTTAATATTTATTTGTTTACTTTATTAAACATTTCTTTCAATGTAAGTTGTTTAAGTTGTTTCGTTTTATGTGATAATACTTTCTCTTTAATTCTATAAACAGACAGTTACAAAGTTCCATTGTTCAAGTCCTATAATTTCTGTGTCGAGTATTCTGACTAATTGGTCAATCAAAATTTTTTCGTTTTCAATAACCTCTGTGTCACTTTCTTCACTATGGGAAGCGAATTATAATGACGAGGAATTTGATTTAAATCATATCAAAGACGGAGTACATCGAGATGAAATACTACATTTAGTAAGGAATTATAAGCCAAATAAAATAAAAACATATGCCCTGAAGATAAGGATAGTGCTGACTGACCAACTTCCAGTTGATTGCGCGCCGCGACGCCCCCCCCCCCCGCTGCCGCCGCCGCACAGCAGCGTGAAATTGATAAATAGATTTCAGAAGGGTTAGAGAAACAAAGGGTATGCCTTTATCCATTTTTTGCAGCAATTCCACTTTTTGTTTGATGGACATCGAAACATACTTTCGCTTTCTAGATCCTCTGGCAGCTCCAGCATTGGAAATTCTATTTGACATAATCGAAAGTTCAAGCTTACTTTTATAAAAATGCTCTAACAGTCTGCAAAATATAATAAACCGGATCCAATTCGAAGATTAAGGAACAACACAATCTACAACATTAACTAAAATAGATAATTAGAGCTTAGCTTATACCGTACGTTATACATTAAACGCGCACGCATAAATGAATTATGCACATGCACAAACGCCTATGCGCATGTGTGATGCGTTGATGCATGCGCAGAAAGTTGGTAGTTTTAAGGTCCGGATTATAGATCATTCCGGATTAACGACTTTTGACTGTACTATTTCTTGCACGTGCTTAAGGCATCCTGAATTCTGATTAAAAAAATTCCCACATAAAATAAAGACTTATTGAGGGCCGGTGCTAGATATCTTACCGCCTGATGCAGTCTCTGCGGGTCCTAAACTCTGCTATCAAGCGCCTAAGTTCTAAATTTTTACCCCCCCTAAATTTTGGATCTCAATGCTTTCTCTAAATTTTAAAATTTTTTTCATCCCTTAATTTTGTTGCTTCTTTAAATTCTTTAAATTCTTCTGCCTAATGCAGCCATACGAGCTCTGGCGTCGGTTCTAGGTTTTTGTGAAAAATAAATCAGTTGTTCTTAATTTAAATAGCACTAAATGTAATCTTTTGGCGTATGAGTATCATTAACAAAATCTATTTTTAGCATATAAAAAGAGAGTTTTATTAAATTTTTTCTCACCAACATTTCTTAA